GAGTTGTTTTTGGATTAAAGATTTTGTATTTTTCCAAATTAGTACAAGTGTATATATGATGTATTACTGTTTTGGTAGCATAATTTGTTCAGTCTTGAATGAATCAAATAGTTGATAATTCAGGTTTTTGAAAGATTAGTTTTTTGTATTCATTATTAGTTGTTGTTGTTATTTGATATTTGATATAGTTGTAGACTTTTTGTTCGTTAATGTTGCTAAATTGTTTTTTGTAGTGTATAAAGAATTTTTGGAACCAGATGTCAAATTGTGGTTTGATTAGGTGAAAAGGTGGAATACAATAGTTTGTATTAAATTTTTGGGTAAAAATATTTATAATAATATAAATATGAAATTTGGAAGTATTGTGGATTTGTAAAGAGGGAGTGTTGTTTTCTGAGGTATTTGGGATATGATTTATATATATAAAGATTTTTGAATAGATGGGTTTAAGTTGTAAGTTATGAAAGAATTTTTAATACTTGATAGTTTGATATTTGTTATGTAGGAATAAATAAAGTCTGACAAGGTTTATAGCAATTTGAAATCATTTTTTAATTGAATAAGGGAGAATAAAGTAGTGTGAATTGAAGAGTTGTTTATAGTTTATTTTATGAAAAAGAATGTTGGTAAATTGGGTAAACTAATTTTTTGTTGTACTAAGAAGTATATTGAAAGGTATTTTGTTTATATCAGTGGTATATGGATTTAGGCTTAAAATTATATTTGTAATAAATTTTGGTTTTTTAGTAGCTATAGTTTGAATTAATAAACTATAATTGTTTTTTATAGTTAGTTCATTTGTTGTTGTAGAGTTAATAATTAAGCCAGGATAGAAGTCTTTAAGGATTGGTTTTAAGAAATCTAAAGTTTGAATTCCAGATGTTGTAAGTGAAGATAAGGAGGAGTTTTCTGATATAGGATAGCTTTTGAACCAGTCTAAGAGTTGGTCTTGTTGTGTTGTAGTTTGTAGATTCATTTTAGGATTATAATCAATAATAGTATTTAAAGAAGGTTTAAAGTTGAAAATAATTTGACACAGAGATATAGAAGTGCTTTTTAGAGTAGTTTATAGTAAGAGTAGAGAGTTTTATAATATAGGTAGCAAGAAAGAGCAGGTGAAAAGGATAAAAATTGGACGAGAGAATTGAGTTTTTTAAGATTGACAGTAAGTTTTCCAGAGAGCCAGTAAATTTTTCAGGTTCCTTTGAGAGAATTTGAAGAAATGTTGGGTATTTAGATATTTTCAAGGTTGGTAAAAAGTGAAATTTCTGGAACACCTCTGTAAATTTTCTGAAATTGACCAATAGAATTCTAGAAAGGAGTTTAGATAAAAGTTTAAGGAAAAATATCGATAACTTAATAATTTTTGGTCTGTTAAAGATGAAATTTATGTTGAAATGATTGTCACAATGAGCTGAATATTTTTGTTTAATGAGAGAGAATAGGTTTGATTAATAAAATTCGATGAAAATTGAGGAAATGTGTTTTTTTAGAAAATGTTAGTTGGTACGTAATATAATAATTAGAATTTGATAAAATTAGTATAGTTGGGAGCAGAAAGTTTAGTATACTTAATTTACTTAGGAATAAAGAGGTTTAATTAAATATAGTTGAAAAAATTTAAAAAGAATATAAATAAAGATAATTTTATTAAAATATAAAAGTTTGTTGTATCGAAAAATTAAGTATGAATAGATGTATATTGTTTTTAGGATAGAAAGTTGTAAAGAATAAGTTTAATTAGAAGTTTAAGAGCTGTTAGTTTAGTAAAATATTAAGAAAAGTTGAATTATTTGTTAGAGAAAAATTGGTTTTAGTGATCTACGGAGAGAGTTAGGTAATTTGCATTCAAATCTAGTAATATTAAATTATATAATTTTTAATTGTTTGTTTTTGAAAAATATTTGAGCATGTTAATATTTAATATTAATCAATTGTCTGTTTCTTGTTTATTTTCTAAAAAAAATGATTATAAATAAATTTGCTTAACTATTATTATAACAAAAATTCTTAAACCATATTATAATATTTTTTGATTTGTAAAATATCTTTAAAGTTAACAATAATCTTCAATAAAATTAATTTGAAAAAATTCTAAATATTAATGAATAACTTGATAATATCTTTTATTAAATAAATGAATATCTTCAATAAAGTAGTTATTAAATTAAATACATTAATATTATAACTGATATTTAAATTGGAAGCCAACTATATACTTAGGTCTAGTTTATTACATTAAATCATTTTCAATATAAAAAAATAAACCTGAATCAAGTCTCTAAATAACTAAATTTTAAAAAATAAATTATCCATAATGTAATAGATAATCTTAAACTTATTGACTAAATTCTAAATAAGAGATGTAATTAAAAACTAGTATAAATAACTAATTACTAAAATAAATATATATAATTTAATCAATAAATTATAAATATTTATAACTATAATGTTAAAGCAAGGGTGTGACAACCTAGTGAAGTGGATAAGTTGTCAACCCGCAAGTGGCAGGTCTAGAGTTCAATCATAGTGATAACAAAAATTTACAATTCTTTTTATATTATGGCTAGTTGTCTTTTGTGATTGGTTGGAATAGGATACCTGTAACCCATGTCATACCAGCATGACTGGAAGGTCTAAGGCACTCGTACAATATTATATGAGAGAACACAAACTAGTACCGGGTGGTATGAACCCAAGATAAGTCCTTAGGCTGTATAAATCAAGGGAACCAGGTAGGAAGATGGAAACCCACTTAGAAGACCCAAATAGAGAAGTAACCCGAACCTTCGACAGTACTATTATAAAGACTAGACTTATGAAATTAAGCTAGAAGCTAGAATTTGTGAAACTAGGCAAATGTGTTGGTCTTTGAGAAAGGACCAGATGAACCAACCAGACCATTGGAATTTCCAGATTTTAGAGGAAAAGGGCATATGCTGGCAAACATGTGAACTAGAGGTGTATGGTTTCGACCTACCTTTTTGGGCTATCTGAAATGACAGCTTAGTGGAACTTGAATTGAATACCAAAGTAGTAAGGATATGTTGTGAAGTCAGTACCAGGGTTTGAGTAAACTCTACAAGAACATAGTGGTTTAATGGTATGCTCTGACCACTAGTGTTAGTCTCGACCATAGTGATACCAGGTCAACTGTAAAAATGGGATACAGATAATTCTGGAAAGTTTAGTACAAGGTCAAAGGTTTTCCATATGGTGAACTGTTTTAAAGACTTAGTGTCCATAACATATTTGAACTGGTATCAACTGGGACATCTTGGTAGATGTAGGTAGATGGGTGGATACGAGAACAGAGTGATTAAATAAGGAACCTACAAGTGGGTTCCAGGTATGACAGCTAGTGTAGAACCTTTGGGCAGACTACTTAAATTAGACAATGACTAAAGTTGTATGAGTGGCTAGTTGTACACTCTTTCCATGATTGTCCCCCTGTGGTTGTAATGCAACCATTAGCTGAATGTACTATCAATAAAATCCTGGATTGCAAGTACTCACCTTAATATTTTAAAAAAAAATAATAATGTTAAAGCAATGTTAATCATATTTAATAATATATCTATTAATTTGTATATTATAGTTACAATGATAATAATCAATGGGTTTTAATTTAGTACAGTTGCAATTATACTTTTTCAGGCTATTAATATAAATATAAATGTACAAATGTATATTCAGTAGTACACAAGAAAAACTGCATCAAACTAAATTAAATTTAATACTTAATACACTAGTGCAATCAATACGCTACCATCATTTCTAACTCCCTTTAAGCAACTCAAGTGCCTAGTTTTTTAAATTAAAGTTTATGTTGATTAACAAATTGCGTAAAGTTTGATGGCGGTTCCAATCAACTCACAGATAATCACTTCATAGACGCCATATTTCACCGACAATTATTCATCGACAAGTTTATTTCACCGACAGTTCAGACGAAGTAGTTTTAGCTATTGTCGTTAGGGTCAGGTTAGAATTAAAGTTAGTATAATTTATAAAAAAAAATTTGTCAGTCAAATGAGTTCGATGAAATAACCTGTCGGTGAAATGAATTTATCGGTGATCTCTTTGAAGTGATTGTCGGCGAATTAATACGGATCCTTTGTTTTTTTAATCTAATCAAATTATATGACAAATGCTCTTAGACCAAAATAATAAAATATTGAAATTATTAAAATAAAACAAATATATCTTTTGTTCAATTAATGCTGTTATATTTTGTGAATTATTTTACTTTGGGTTTCTTGTAAAATCACAAAATGATCTACAAAAATTAGCTAATCGGGTAGAGGCCAGATATGGCTAAATTCTTAAGAGTAATGCATTATGGTCTCTCCTTCCACTCCAATCCTATTAATACAATTCCGTGCCCAACAGATGCCACCTTACATAAACGTGTAAAAAATGTCTAAAAACGTCCCATTTTGTTTAATTTTGTCTAACTTTATTACACAATTCCTTTCATATTTATATATAAATATATTTATGCAAATGGATATGCAAGGAGTTTATAAAAATGATCCATTCTAATTTTTGACAATTTTGTTTGAAATAATACAAAATGGAGCATCTTTTTCACGTCTAACACAAATATTATTCAATTTCTTTTTTATAGGATTGCTAAGTTGGCTCAAAGGACCAAGTCCAAAAAGTTTTAACGGCCCAAATTTCCTGTCTGCATATGTTTAGAAAACAACTATAAGTAATGCAATCTACTGGTTTTTTATGCATTATATATGGGTGCCGCCAAGTGAAAACCTGTCATTCTAAAAATAGATTTCTATGAACAACGGAATGTGAGGTTTGAACTAATCTGACTAGAATAATGGATTATACTGTTTTTTTGATCACATAGTAGTCTCATTTAAAGTCCGTATTCCGTTGTCCGTAGAAATCTATTTTTAGAATGTCAGGTTTTCACTTGGCAGCACCCATATTTTATATAAACTCTAGCATGCTATATAAAATTTTTATTGTGATTCAACATGAAAAAATCTTATAATCTTGTCAAATCGTGTTTATTTTTTATATTGATTATTAGTTTTTCAATTATAACAATATCAGCGGAATTGAACTTGTACATTACACCAAACACTACTATATATAAAAAATTTACCTATACAGAGAATACGTTCTCCCAATCACAACCATATGCAATTGACATTCAAGTTTATGATGATGGGACAACACTCATCCATCTTGTTAGAAATAATAATACTGAGAATTGTTTTGAACCCATCTTACGTATAAGAATTATCCATTTAAATGGATCCGTCACTGAAATTAATACTGATTTAAATCTTGATTCTGTGAATTATTGCTTATTTAAAGACATACTTACTGGCGAAATGGTGAATCCTATTTCAATACGACCTTTAAAACAAACATTTATATTAGTAAGTTATATTAAAATAGATTATGGAATCTGGTACCAATAGGGAACTGTTCTTAATTGGAATGGCGAAAAACTTAGGTTCGATGATAATTTATGTTACAAAATACTTAAAGATTTTTAATAATGAACTGACTGTCAACATTATTATTTATTTATTTTAAATTACTAGTTCCATACCTCTTGAACCATCCTCTGTTTATTTCTCCGAGAAAATTTTTTGGCCCATGAAAAGTTTAATTGAAATAAACATAAACAAGGAACTATTTCTTTACGTAAATTCCTATGGAAATTCCATCGGTGGCACGCAATATTCAGTGTATTAATCTCCTATGATCCTCTTATTTTTTTATTTAATCAATAAATTAACTATTGTAATTAATTATAGTGATATTAATGGAAATTTATCAAAAGATGCCATTGTTCTAACAGAGTCCGATCTACCAACCACTAATTATACCCTTTTTACGTCATTGGCCACCGTTGATGAAGGTTATGCAATATTGTATGCCAAATATTTAGGCAATAAAAGCGATTTTATGAGTTCACTTGGCGGACTGTACGCCAGCTTTATAGCTTACAACCAAATTTCCATGAACAATTCTATTCTTCTCTTTCCGATAACTAGTCCTGAAATGAAAATTAATGCAGTTCATTGTAATGCATTCTTGGGATTTTGTTACTATTGTATTGCTTCCATCATCTACAACAACACAGTGCAATATGAAGAAATTCAATTTTGTACAGGAAAATTTTTAAATTCGAATCCAATCCAAACTCCCAACGAAATTGGTGTGCCCTGGAATGTGTTTTCAACACCTACTGGCGGATATATATTGTCTGCTGTTAACGCCACCACTTGTTTTATTCATATTTCTGAGTATTCAAATCCAGGAGCTAATCTGATTAATTTGACGTACTTTAATACAACTGGTGTTAGTGCATATGGCTTCTTGAAACTTAATAATACTCTTTTACTCTCTCTACGAGATACAAATAGGAATCATATTTCTTGGTCATTGCTTACTGTTCATTTACCTACAGTTCCAGATAGTATGTTTATAAATACTTATTCATAAATAATATTCTTACTCATAAATTTATACTTATTTACTATACATTATTTTATTCGCATTAATTTAGAGGGTGAGTATAATGACGGTTTATAAATCGATAGAATTAAAGTTATAAATACTCTTCTTATTTATAAATTCATAATTACCTTATTCATTATTTCATTCGCATTAATTTAGTCGGTGAGTATAATGATTTATAAATCAATGAAATTAAAATCATGAACATAAATACTTATTCATGAATACACCCTCTCTTATTCATAAATTCGTAAATACTTCCTTATTTACTATTCATTATTTATTCGTATTATTTAGACTGTGAGTATAAATCGATGTAATTAAAGCATAAACATAATTGCTTATTCATGATACTCTTTCTTATTCATAAATGCATACTTATTTACTATTCATTATTTCATTCACATTAATTTAGTCCGTGAGTATAAATCGATGAATTATAATCATGAGCATTAATACTCTTTCGTATTCATAATTCTTTATTTACCATTCACTTTTCATTCACATGAATTTAGCCGGTGAGTACAAATGATTTATAAATTGATGGAATTAAAATCATGAACATAAAAACTTATTCATGAATACTCTTTCATATTCATAAATACTTATTCATTATTTGATTCGCATTAATTAGTCGGTGAGATAAAGATTTATAGATCAATGAAATTAAAATCATGAAAATAAATGCTTATTCACAAATACTCTTTCTTATTCATAAATTCATAAATGCTTCCATATTAATCATTCATTATTTCATTCGCATTAATTAGACTGTAAGTATAAAGATAGTTATAAATCGATGGAATTAAAATCATACTTATTCATCATACTCTTTCTAATTCATAAATGCATACTGATTTACTATTCATTATTTCATTCACATTAATTTAGTCCGTGAGTACAAAATGATTTATAAATCGATGGAATTAAAATCATGAACATAAATATTTATTCATCATACTCTTTCTTATTCATAAATGAATACTTATTTACTATTCATTTCTTCATTCGCATTAATTTAGCCGGTGAGTACAAAATGATTTGGAATTAAAATTTTTATTCATCATGCTCTTCGTATTCATACTTATTTATTATTCATTTTTTCATTCACATTTATTTAGGCGGTGAGTACGAAATTATTTATTAATCGATGAAACTAAAATCATGAAATAAATACTTACTCTGAATACTCCTCCTTATCCATAAATTCGTAAACCTTCCTTATTGTTTCATTCGCATTAATTTAGTTCGTGAGTATAAAGATGACTTATGAATCGATGTAATTAAAATCATTAACATAAATACTTATTCATGAATACTCTTTCTTATTTTATTCGCATTAATTTAGGCGGTGAGTACAAAATGATTATAACTCGATGGAATTAAAATCATGAACATAAATAGTTATTCATCATACTCTTTCTTGTTCATAAATACTTATTTATTATTCATTATTTATTCACATTAATTTAGTCGGTGAGTACAAAATCATTTATAAATCGATGGAATTAAAATCATGAACATAAATACTTATTCATCATACTCTTTCTTATTCATACTTATTTACTATTCATTATTTCATTCACATTAATTTAGTCCGTGAGTATAAAGATGATTTATAAACCGATGAAATTAAAATGATTAGCATTAATATTTATGAATACTCTTTCTTATTCAAAAATTCGTAAATACTTCCTTATTTATCATTCATTCTTTCATTTGCATTAATTTAGCCGGTGAGTATAAAGCTATTTATAAATCGATGGAACTAAAATCATGAAATAAATACTTACTCTAAATTCTCCTCCTTATTCATAAATCATAAACCTTCCTTATTGTTTCATTCGAATTAATTTAGTCCGTGAGTATAAAGATGACTTATGAATCGATGGAATTAAAATCATGAGCATAAATATTTATTTATGAATACTCTTTCTTATTCATAAATTCGTAAATACTTCGTCATTTGCCATTCATTATGCATTCGCATTAATTTAGCTGGTGAGTATTAAAATGATTTATAAATCGATGGAATTAAAATTATGATCATAAATTATAACATAAATACTTATTCAGAGATACTTTCTTTATTTACCATTATATATAGTTAGTGGTTATTATAATTACGGTAACATCATGATTACCAATGTTACCCCATCCATTAATTTTAATGTCGATTCATCAACGACCAATATAAGCATCAGTTTCGCTATTTCTGTTGATTTGTCAACTGGCAACATCACCATCTACAAATTTTCCGATAACAGCATTAGGCAAAGTGTTTCAGTAACCTCTGAGTTCTGTAAACTTAGTAACGATAGTAAGGTTGTCAATATAAGTATCATTGATAGCACATTTAATGAGTATGGTGAGAAATATTATGTGAAAGTGGATAATAATTTTGCCAATGCTAGTACTTATTTTAATAATGAACCTTTAAGAGGAATTGAAAGTTATGTTTGGATTCTTAAATCAAGTAAATTTGATCGTATTTTTAAATAGGATGGTAATCAAATCGCTAAATCACTTCAACGACAATTTAGTTCACCGATAATTAATTCATAGACAAAGTTTATTTTACCGACGATTAATTCAGACAAGTTCATTTCATAGGGTTAGATTTAGAATTAGTGTTAAGATTAGTGCAATTCATAAAAAAAACATGCCGGTGAAATATACTGTCTGTGAATTAATCGTCGGTAAGATAACCTTGTCTGTAAATTAATTGTCGGAGAACTAAGTTATCTGTGAAGTGATTGTCGGTGAATACGGACCCTTTATAACATCTATTTTATCTGTTTTTATTTTTTTAAATCATTTAGTTTATAGAGCGCATCCTTCAGGTAGTAATATTACATTTATATACAATATGTTTCACCCGATTCTAATTATATTTCCTTGTAGAAGTTGCTGCAACGGGTTTAGTAGTTCTCACTATAGATGCCTCCAAAAAATTTCTAACATCATCTAGAAACAATCAGTCAGAATATTTTGATACTCTATTAGATGAGTTTGCTCTTAAAGTACCAGTCAGACGGGAGCGTTTAAGTTCAGATAAGAAGTTCCAGTATTTCGACGAATTTGGTCAAATCGCCATTTCAATTCGTATAGATTTGCCAACTAATGAAACCGAAAATACAGTTCCTGGAGTATTTTCAAATTTAAACAATATGATTCTTTACAAAGGAATCACCACTTTCTACACTGGTGTGACAAATGATTTAAACTCGACTCTTGGCTTTCAACCACAAGGTGAGTCGATAATTGTATTCCAAATATTGATATAATTGAATGAATCACACGACTAATTTTTCTATAATAGAGGGTCCATGGGATAAATTCAAATTACAAATAATTGCTGCAATTGCAACTTTTGTAATAATATGCTTATTTTATCACATCTTGAGTTATAAACTACACTCAAAAAAATTTGAAGCATTAAGTTCCGCAATATTAAGGCTTGGATTAATCATCCCTAATTTCATTCTTTCAATTCACTTTATCGTTTACAATTCAAATGATATACAGGAGCTTCATTTGCCAAGGTATTCCTTATCAATATGATTAAATTAGTGTTAAAATTTTATTACCTTATTTTTGATTCTTGCTAAATCAACAAACGCACAAAGTGTGTTCTTTTTTAGTGTTTCGATACTAGCAAATTTAACTATAGCTATTTATACTTTCTACAATGGAATTAACGAGCTTGTTGTTGGAAAAGAATTTAAAGAATGGGTTAAACATAAGCAAGAATTAGTGGCTATATTTACTATATTCACTATATTAGCAACAACTGATTATGAGTATCTGATAATTTTGAAAGATGCGCCTATATTTAATAAAATAACAATTGATTATAAGTATTTAACAATTATAAAAGATGTAACCAAAGCAGAAATTGACGATTATTTAAAGATTTTAGAAGACGTGCCTATATCTGATGAATCTGACAAAATCAAACAAATTGATATGTTAAAGACTTTGAAATACGTGCTGACCAGATTTGAAGAGTCTGTTGAATTCGGTGAATCTGATGAATCTGATGAAATAAAACAAATTAAAAATATAATCAAACAAATTAATACATTTAGGAAAATATTTAGATTCGCGATTATATGTGGAGCGTTCTTTGACATTTTTTTTAGAAATATTCCACAAATCGTTATTCAAGTGAGAATTAATTATTATATTTATTTGTTAAGCTTTAGTTTTATTAACCAATTCGTTTTTGCGTATTTAAATATCTTATTCATAAGGTCATTTACTACAAATCCGTTGTGATATATAAATTAGTGCCATTCCTTTTATTAATAACTTCTTGCCTTAAAATTTTCATGATTATAATTCGATGTATGTACAAAAGAGCAACGTTGTACATTTTCCAGTGAGTATAAAATTTATTTGCTTTGTTTTTAAAATCAATATTTATTTTTACATTAATTTTGTCCTAATCAAATGAATCATTAGGAGGTTAGCATAAATCTTTATACCATTTATTGAAACTAAATTTTACAGTCTAATTTACTTTAACATACTAAATTATACATGCATTAAAGGGAGTAAGTATTCAAGTTTGCTTTATTAAATTTGCATTTAATAATTATATCCTCTAATCGATTATACGAATGTTAATTTTCCAGCCTGTGAGTACTATATAAATTTTATTGCAAATTTATTCATTAAATATTAATTTAGCGTTAATTTATTACATGTTTTTAATAGGAGGTGAGTAAATTTAAATTTTTTTATAGATAGGGAGTCAAATTCATTATTATAATTAGGCGCTTCTATTATTTACATGCCTGTATTGCTGTTAATAAATTTTACTCTCTTTAATTTTCATAAGCTTAAAAAACTAATAAACTAATACAGGTCTAATACATATTATTTATCATAAAAGGGATAGTATTTGCGGAAAATACGGAAAATGTAAAAAATGTAGGAAATACAACACTTCTCGAGTTTGGTGCTTAAATTGTGATCCTGAGGAAGAAACTCAAGGATGGACAAGTGGCAATAACGATATTGATGATGAAATAAAAAAGTTTCAACGTGGAGCCACGGAATACGATGAAGTTATTGAATGGATTCCATACGATAACTTAATAAATACTGAAAAGATTAAATGGGTTCCAATGGATGGAAATAATTTACAAGAAATTGATGAGAAATTAGATTTATTTATGGCAACTTGGAAGAATGGTATACGAACAATTAAATATGTATCTGGAAGATATACACGGTCACGCAATGAATCACGCATCGATCTTATAAAATTACACAATTCTCAAACAAATACTTCGGATGTTATAAAGAAAGTAAGTTGATTTTCCACAATGTTATTAATTTAGTGCACTGAATAATATAGGATTACTAAACGACGGTTGTATCTTGTAAGCTTAATGAAATGATGAAAAGCAAATATAAAATATATGGAATAACTAGAGATGAGACCGAACAATATATGGTTGTCCTTGATTATTATTCTAACAAAAGAGATATCAACAAATATGGAGAGTGTAAGGAATGTAATCGACCTAATACCAATCCAGAATGGTGTCAATCGTGTGATCCTTCCAAGGAGGTGAACTATAATAAACTATTAAATGATAATGATGAAATTATTAATTGCATCAAAAGTTTTCAACTTAAAGCTGTGGATTACGACAACGTTATTGAACAGATTCAATACAATGATTTAACAGAAATTAAAAAGGTTAAATGGGTTCCAATTGATGGAAATAATTTACAAGAAATTGATGATAAATTGGATTTCTTTATGGCATCTTTGAAGATACGAACAATCAAAAATGAATCTGGAAGATATACACGATCGCGCACCAAATCACAAGTTGATCTTATAAAATTGCACGATTCTCAAATAAACACTTTAGATTTTATAAAGAAAGTAAGTTAGATTTTTCAATATTTTGTTAATTTACTGCATTAAATAACGTAAGACTTCTAAAACGACACATATATCTTATAAGCTTAATGAAATGACGAAAGAGAAATATAAAATCTATGGAATAACTAGAGATGGGACTGAGCAATACATGATAGTTCTTGATTATTATTTTAACAAAAGAGATATCAACAAATATGGAGAGTGTAAAGAATGTAAGAGACCTAATACCAATCCAGAATGGTGTCAATCGTGTGATCCTTCCGTAATCCAAAATAAATCATTAAGTGATGATAAT